CCAGACTACTTGGACATGCATGGCTGCCCCCAAGAGTTCCTAGCATATACCAAAATAAAGTTCCTAAGACACCAGCCTTCCCTGTCAAGACCACCCTCCCCTGCTGACACCACCATCTTTTTTCAACTGCTCTTAGACTTCCAGGAGACTGGCCACATAGGATCTGTCTCCACAGTTCCCAAGGAAAATGATCAAGAACCCCTCATTCTATCTTCCCTAGAATTTACACTTTTGTGGGGTCCTGGCATCTGAAAGCAGAACCATATCTAAGGCATCCCTTTTCCTGGAAGTTATACTCTTAATTTCTAGGTTTAAAACTTCTTGTTTTGGTTTGTTTTTATCACTTGTTTTTCTACTTTTAAAAGTATTAAATGACAAAAAAACAAGTAATGAATGCCTTTTATTGCTTTTTCAACCTCCCTTCCAAAACAAGATGGGGGTGGAAGCATTTAACAATGATTCTCAGCAAGGAGGGCACCCCAGTTAGCATTTACTTGTTGAGTGTTATAGATGGGCTTTTGTTCTTTTTCTTTTTGCTTTCTTCTTCTTCCCTGCCCCCCTCCTCCTCTTTCTCCTCCTTCTTCATGTGTATAGTGCTGGGGATTGAATGGGGGTAGTCTTGTCACTGAGCTATTTTTATTTTGAGACAGGGCCTTGCTAGGTTGACCAGGTGATCTTGAACTTAAATCCTCCTGTCTCAGCCTCCCAAGTTGCTAGGATCACATACATGTGCCACTACACCTTGGTATAACTTTTATTAATTAATTTGTTTATTTATTTATTTGTCGTAGTTGAAGATAATGTCGTTATTTTATTTATTTATTTTTATGTGGTGCTGAGGATCGAACTCAGGGCCTCTCATGTGCTAGGCGAGTGCTTTACCGCTGAGCCACAACCCCAGCCTTGGCTATAACTTTTTTTTTTCCATTTTCTTTTTTAATTTCTTCCAATTAGTTATACATGACAGCAGAGTGCATTTTGGCAAATTGTTCACAAATGGAGCACAACTTCTCCTTCCTCTGGCTGAACATGGTGCACAATCACACAGGTCGAGTAATCATACATGTTATGGAGCAATATGTCCATCTCATTCCACTATCCTTCCCACCCCACCCCCCCCCCGCAAAAACCCCCTTCCCTCACTCGCTTCTGCACAATCCGAAGTTCCTTAACCCCCTCACCTGCCCCATTCTGAATTCTGGCTATAACTTTTTAAAGTTAAATCAAATCATAGATTGAGATTTAAAATGAGCTTCATCTCAGTGCTGTGGAAATATGGAATCTCTGATCTACAGGGCCCACTTGATGATTCACATTTGACTTTCCTAAGGGTCTCACCATCTATAGACAGAATCTTGATGAAGCCACAGAGAAACAGCTACCAGAACTATCACTCCAGCTATATTTCACTGTAGTCCCTGGAGAAGCCCATGATGACCACAGTACTATTTCCTAGTCACCAGTTTTCAATGGCTTCCTGCTCCGTGAGCCTCACAAACTTCAGTCTGGCCTTGGCTGCTCTCCTGAGCTCAGACTTACATACCTGGCTATGTCTCAGTGTCTCCTTCTCACACCCAACTACTCAAAGCTGAACTTGCTCAGCTTCACCCTTCAGACTTGCTCCTCCCCTTTCCTCAGCAGTGCTGTTTACTCACTTACCCAAGCTGGCAACCTCTAAGTCATCGCTGACTCATCCTTCTTGCCTGTACCAGTCATTCATCAAGTCCTGATGTTTCATCTCTAAAATGTCTTGCACATCATTCCTCTCTCTTCTCGTCTCTACCACCACTGCTGAATAACCTCACACCTTACTGTGGCAGTCAAGGACCTACCTAACCAGCCTTTCCCGGCCTCATTGACAGAACTTCCTTCCCAATGCAAACTTACTCTGTCCCACTTACTCTCAGGCACTTTTTACTGCTGCACCTCTCAATGGCAAGGTAACCATCATTGGTCTTGTGCTACATCTGAAAATCCAAGGCTCAGAAAAACTGAGTATTTCAGTGATCTATTAATAAACAACAGAGCACCCCAAAAATCAATGTCTTGAAATAATAATGTTTTATTTTTCACATCTGTAGGTTTACACTCTGGGTGATTCTTCTGCAGGTTTTACCTGAGATAACTTACATGGCTGCAGTCATCTGATAGCTCCTCTGAGGCTGGATGGTCAAGATGGCTTCACTCAAAGGTGTGTAAGTTGGTGTTATCTATAAATAGAGACACTTTGGTTCTCCTACACATGGGGGTCTCCCCTTCTGGTAGGTTAAAAAGCATCCTTTCATGGTGGCCTCAGGAGAACAATTCAAGCAAGAAAAAAGCAAAAACCGCAAGGTCTTCTTCAGATCTAAGCTCTAGACTTTAATCCAACAACACTTCTGCCATGTTCTATTGGTCATTGAAGCCACCAGTCAGCCCAGTATCACAAAGATGAACAAATGTACTCTGCCTCTTAATGGGAAGAGTGGAAACATCCTGTTGCAAAAGGATGGAGACACAGGGAGGCCCAATTTTGTGGGGACCATTAAGATAATGAGCTACCACAGCAAGGAAATTGTCCACAGTCATCTACTCAACTTGAAAATCCTAGAATATGAACCAGGGCCTTATGATTCTCATGTTCACATTTTTTCCAGACCTATTTCTCACCAAGAGGAAGCCAACAGTCATGGATGGGTCACCATGATAGTTACAATGATGACACTGGTCAATTGAGCTGTGCCACCTTTGGTCCTGGATGGAAGTGCCTATCAATTGGCCAAGCACCACCTCATCTTCCAGTATCTCTAGCCGTAACAGCAGCTGCCCATTCCACCTTCCCACTCAGCATCCAGCTTGGCTCCAGAAAGCAGCATAATGCAGGACTTGAGAACTCCTCCAGGTCCCCAGACTCCATTAAGAAGCTGATTAAAATTTGATGCTCCCATTTAACACCTATTAGCAAACACAGTGCCCTCCTGCTAGGAGAGAGAACTTGGAAGACAGGGGCCTCCCCAGGTCCCAGCAGCACCCTTCCTGCCAGGGTGACAACCATTAGCTGGAAGAAAGATATGCAGAGGTGTATGGGGTGAGAAGGGAGGGAGATGCTGAGGCTGCGTGTCTTTTACCAAGGACTAACTCTTCCTGAACCCCAAGGCAAGAATGAACATTGTCCTCAAGTGCAAGTGCCCCACAGTGGGGCAGTGGGACCAGGTCAGAAATGAGCAATTGGCATCCAAGAGTCTGTAGCCCTAAGGGATTGTGAGAGGCCAACATCCTTCCCCCTATCTTCCCACCAGGCAAGGTTTAAATTGTCCAAGAAGATGTGCCATGGGAATGAATATAATCAGGATGTAAATGCTCTAAATGAAATGAATTGGATCTCTTTTCCCAAGGTCAGCTATAGGAACTCTCCTCAAAAAAACCCCCAAAGGGAAGAAGATCTGAGAGAAACTCTAGCAGCACTTACTTTATCTTTGCCTTCTTGTACAGAATGACTTAGGGCTGGAGCAGGTTGCATTTGAGGTAGAAGGGAAGAGATAACCAGGTAAAAGTTGACTTAGTGCTTACTAGGTGCCAGTCCTTGGCATAAAGCAGAGCTTACATAGAGGAGGAAACAGAAGCTATGCCCTCAAGGAGTACATAATTTCACTAAAGCCACAGGTATACAATACCTATAGTTAAGCCACAATACAAAGTATTGTTAGAAAGCATAGAACTGGGACTCAGGTCCCAAGTTTGACATTTACTGCATGAGAAGCTTCACAAAAAGCTAATTGAAATTGTATGCTGGTTAACATTTTAGCAAACGGAGTGCCCATTCTGCTAGGAGAAAACAATTAAAGGGGGGCTTTCCTTGTAACCCTGGAGGCCAGAGTAACAGCCATTAGGAAGAGCCTAGAAAATCACATTGGATCTTGAGCCTCAGTATCTTCATCTGCAAAGTAAGGGTGCCCATTGAGCAGGTCTGGTATGGTGACTGGTGTGATATAATGTACATGAAAGTACACTGTGAATGGTCAGTGGCTATTCAGTCACAGCTTTGTGATTACCATGACAAGGGTTAGGTTAACCTCCTCCAAGTTATGCAGCTACCTGAAGTCACTGAAATAATGTAGAAATTAAGACATTTTGTGCTTTTTCTGGTTCTTTATTTCCCACAAGGACTCCTCCACGAGAAACAAAGTCTTCCTGTCCTGCCCCATAACCATGGCCCTCACATATCCATAATAGATACTTTCACCATGGAGCCATGCTAGCCCTCAAAGGATCAAGCTAGACTAAGGTGGTCTCTGAATACCTTGCCAATAATTTGGACACTTCCCCAACACATTCACCTTAGCTACTCATGATTCTGTGTCAATTGATGGCCTCTCTTATCTCTGGCTTCTCTGTCGATCTTTCATCTACCCAGCAATCTTCTGCTTTGGGATTCAATGCCCTTGGCTTCTCTTTGAAGCCCCATCTTTTCCCTTTTACCTAGAACAAGTGTTTATCCAGCCCTAAGTACAGAGCTTCTAGAGGGCTATGTGGTCTAGATACCATCACAGGGATAGGGATAGACTGGTGGAAGGTGGGAATATATTTCCCAGGGTTTAGAGTCAGGAACATTTTCAGCAAAATAGTTATTGCACCTCACTGGGAGCCAGGGTGGCAAAAGAAGTTCTGTTGAGGATGGCATAAGGTGGACTTGAAGGCAAAGCCTGGAGCTCAATGGTAGCTAGGCATTCTCCAGCTGGGAAGCCAGGTATGTTCTGTAGACATGGGTGAAGGCTGGGCACATTTGAGCAGTAGAGGGATGGGCTGAAGTAACAGTTTGGGGAAGGTACCCTGGCAGGTGCTATATGGATGCCTTTTCTGAAATGGCAACCAGGTGTGCTTGTGACTGGGACGCCCCTCAGGATAATAGCAACATCCTCCCAACCAGTAAGGGGCTCAACTTCAAAAAGCAAACCACACAGAAGCAGCTCCACTGATTTCCTTGCTCTGGAGTCAAAGACTCCAATAGATGGCCTACTCACCTTTCTTGTGCTGTGGTCACCTCCTACCTCCTCCTCTCTGCTGTGCTCTCTTCTACAGTCTTCAGTGTGACAGGTGCTGGGAAAAAAAATGCTCTCTCAGACTTTAGGTTCTTCACACCTACAAACTGTCTCCAGCAGGGTGTCCAGTTGAAAGAGAAGAGTTTAGAAGGATTTACCCAAGATCAGAGCTCTTCTTTGTCACCTACCACCTGTGCAGCCTGCAGCAAATTGCTTGCCCTTTCTGAACCTTGTTTTTTTCCTTCTTTAAAGTGAGAGCCATAAACTCCCTTTGTAGGACAGTGGTGGGGTTAAATGGATAATGTCTGTCAAGCTTCTGGCCCAGTGCGTGGAACATAGAGGGTGCTCCATAAGTAACATAGCCTCCCACCTTTGTTCTGAATAACATCATTAGATAGCCCCTGGCTATCACAGGAAGGACACATAAAAGGATACCTGGTCCATAATAAATGGCACAACACCGGAAATCTACAACCTTAGAGACGGCCTCCCCACCTCTGCGCCCCATTGACTTCTCTGTCCCCATTGCAGCAACCTCTATTAGGCTTGCACACACTACTTTCCAAATCTGTTTGGACAATCCCTCCCTGGTCCCCCTGCCATGACAAGACGAAGCTTTCTAAAAAGTCAAAACACAGCTCACATTATGTTGGTCAAGAAGCAGAGAGAAACACTCAAGCTCCAGATACACCAAGCTTCCCAAACTCACCCTTACCTTCTCGCCACTTTGCAATATAATCCAATCACTCCCCACCATCCCCTGCTACCCCATTTATGTCTCCATGCCAGAGAAACCACAGTTCCCTCCAATTAAAAGACTCACCCTCCCTTCCCCAGGAAAACCCTTCCTATCCTAAAAGACCCATATCTCTGCTACCACCTCAACAAATCCTTCCCTGGTACCCAGAGTGGATGTCCTTGTTTCTTGTGTCAGGGGTCTTCAGTTTATGTCCCATAGGCCAAAGCCAGCCTACTTGTTTTCCTGTGGCCCATGAGCTAAGGATGATTTTGACATTTTAATTGTTTGAAAATAATCAAAAGAACAATATGTTATAACATGAAAACTATGTGAAATTCAAAAGTCGGAGTCCAAAATTTTATCAGAAAACAGCCACACAGGTATTGCCCTCTTAGGTATTACCCAAGATGGTCTTTGCACTTGTTTTAGTCAGCTTTTTTGCTGCTGTGACTAAAGGATCTGACCAGCACAACTGTAGGGCAGGAAAAGTTTATTTGAGGGCTCATAGTTTCAGAGATCTTAGTCCTTAGACGGCCAGCTCCATTTCTCAGGGCTCGAGGAGAGACTGAACATCATGGCAAGAGAGGGTGGTGGAGGAAAGCAGCTCACATTATGTTGATCAAGAAGCAGAGACACTCAAGCTCCAGATACAAAATATAGCCAAGCCCCCAATTAACCACTTCCTCCAGCCACATCCCACCTGTCTCTAGTTACCAATAAGTTAATTCCATTGGGGATTAAATCACTGATTGGGTTAAGACTCTCACAATCCAAGCATTTCTCCTCTGAATCTTCTTGCATTGTCTCACATGTGAACTTTTGGGGGACACCTCATATCCAAAGCATAATAGCACTTTAACAGCAGAGTTGAGAAGTTGCAATGAAGACTACATGACTTGCAAAGTTTAAAATATTTACTCTCTGGCTCTGTGCATAATAGAAAGTTCACTGCTCCTGGCTCTATGATGCTCTGACTTTTGATTCAAATGGCTCTTGTACTGGGATCATCTGTCTCCTCTGTAGGTGATAAGCAACTCTAAAAGAAGTCTTGCCCAACTCTGATGCTTGGGCTTGTTCCATTCCCTGGCATTAGTAGATACTCAATGTCTATGCCCACTTGGAAACCCCTCTTCAATGTCCCAGCTTCCACAGACAGACCAATGCCTGGAATCTAGTAACACCCGTTTTTCTTTGTCCCTCTAGCCCTTTTGGTGGGAAGATCTGCGTGAGACATGTCCTGAAGCAGAGAATAGATGTTATCTCTACTTCACAGAGTTGGAAACTACAGCCTAATGGAGTAAGTTTACTTGAGTGAGATCATGTAACTAGAAAGAGACAGAACAAAGATTCAAGTCCACAACTTTCTTCTGCAAACTTGACACAATTGCTTCATCTTGTCCCTACATTGTAACAGGAGAGCCCCTTGGCTTTGGGGAGATGGAATTCCTTAAATAGCAGTCCCAGGACCAGAAGCAACATCCCAGGAATGTTTGTTGCGTGGGGTTTATAAGCAGCATTTGTCTAATAAAGTAATTTCTGAACATCTCACATCCCCTAATTACTTGTCACAATAATGTGAGACATCTCCCCGCATACTTGTTTTTTCCATCACTGGCACAGCGCAGGAGCTCCTGGGCCTGGGAGGCGGAGATAAATATAGCCACTCATTTACTCACCAGTTGGGTTGCCTGAGTGCACACAATACATGTTGCCACCCAACACACACGCCAAGCCCATGTGCATAGGGAAAGACTATTTGAACACATGGCATCCTGACACATCCCAGACCAGTCCTAACTTGCAAAGGGTAAAGGACTTGTCCAACATGTTTCCATCTTGCCAGAACTGTGGCCATTTTTAGGAATTGAGAGGCAGATTGGGGTGTTAAGTAAGCCATTTTTCTAATGATAAAACATCTAATGGTGCCCTATCGATGGCATTTTTTCACGAGAGAACAAGGTGGCTTCTGAGGTTCCCACAATTTTCAAGTCTATGACATTCTTTTCTTATAAATGCTCAGTCTATTTTCCCTCAGCCTCAAGTGCTCAGATTGGAAGCACAGAGGAGCTGGATGGAGCCAGGGGTATGGAGGAAAAGCCAAGCATTTATACACATTTGTGAGATGTTCTCAAATTCAGCCATGATTTTCTGTAGGGTCAATGCCAGGTTCTGTCACTATCTCTGCCTCTTGGGAGAATCTGTAGCAGAACCACGAGGTATTGACATACATGGTTTCAATTCTTTCCTTTCTGGATCCACTCTCCCCTCCCACCCCAGTTGCCCCTCCTAGTGCCCTGTTTCTCCCATAGTCCCTAAGTTTTAGCACCCCCTACTCAGCTTTTCCCAGAGCCTTTATTTTAAAATATTATTTTCTGGAAGCCCCAGATAAAATGCCCCCAAATGAGCATGTGTCTATATGCTTTCCCTTTTTCCATATGTGTACATGAACATTCCCAAATTTTCCAGAAAACAACCTTATTCTGAGATCTTCTGGATTAGCAGAAAACTACACTTCCTCCAGGCAAATTCTTCTCTCTCTCTCATGGTCTTGCTCAGAGGGTCCCTCTCCTTGCAAGGTTCCAAGTGGATACAGAACTGAAATACCTGATCAGGTGGTATTTGGCCAGTTCATCCCAACACAGGGGTTTGCCCCTGGAGTCATAGGACTCCCCAGCTCTCTGAAGTCATTCTGGAAAACATCAGCGATTGTGTATATTCACAGCACTGCCCTCTGAGCCCAGTTGTCTTGGGTGCAATATAACAGCATTTGCCAGAACAAATTGACTGGAACAAGCTTTGGACTCACCTTAGTGCCTCCTCAATTTCCAACACTTCTACTCAGCCATCTGGGTCCATCTGAGATTTCCTCAGTTGGTGACTTTTCTCTGTTTATTCCAGAAGACTATGTTTTCTCTCTTCGCATTCCTCCCTCTATTCTCTTCTACTCCCAGTTTCCGTAGTGCCTTGGCAACACTAAGAATCAGAGATATAGAAGAAGCCCCACGTGGCTTGAAGCTGCATATGTACTGAGTGGTAGCTATGTCACCTAGTACACAACAAACCTGTTTCAGGTAATCTCTTCATCTATAATATAGGGATTGTAACGTCTACTTGTAATGGATAACTATTATTTTTTTGCCCACCCAGCAACCATTCTGTCTTCTGATATCCACATCATGATTTTCCTTTGAAGAATCCACATCAGTCTCACTTCTAATACATATTGTTTAGACAGGGCTGTTGCCCCCTTTACTGTGAGTGGGCAGCTATGCCTGGATTGGTCAATGAGAGGACTGCAACTCTCTGGCCACAATGATCAGTTCAATAAAGGTCTTATGAACCAGGCCAAGCCAATGATAATCAGCCCTGAGATTTTTGCCGAACCTTTCTCTCCTTGGTAATTGGTACAAAGGTAGACTGCAGGTCTAAAACTGTTGGTGGCCATTTTTGCCACCACATGAGGTACATCTGTCTGAGAAGGAGACCAGCTCAGAAGAGAACTGAAAAATTGAGAAATTGCTTACAACACTGTTTGAGGACCCCCATCTAGCCGTGAATGAAGTTCATCCTTCAACATCCCAATGACCTGCGTCAATAAATTTCCTTTTTAGTGTAGGCTAGTTTGAGTTAGATTTTTTTTCCAGTGGCAACTAAAAGTCCTAACTAATACAATATACCTCAGGGCTCTTGTCAGATCAAATAAAACAGCATATACAATCACCTAGCAGTCGGCTGGCACATAATAGGAACTCATTAAATATTAGTCACCTTCCCAACAAGAGGAGGCAGGGAAAAATGCCAGTGGACACAAGACTGTGAACACAAGAAAGATGTATCATCAACAGAGCAAGAGCCCCTGGAGGAGCCAAGAAGGGAGAAGATCAAAGTATGGATTGAAGGCTTAGTCTGGGGTGATAAAGGGACAGTTCTTCCTTGAGGGCAGTGGCAAGAATCCTTGGGAAATGAAGAAAGTCCAAGGAAGGAAGAGGATGGCTGGAGGACTTTGTATCAAGCAACCTGATCTCCTAAGGTTAGAGTTGAGGTCCTCTGCAAAGTGGGGAGCATGGGTGGCCTCAAAGACTTTTGGGAAATCAATAACCAGAGAAATCAATTAATAGGAGAAAAAAATGTAAAGTTGCTGCCTAGCAAAGAGCCTGCTGCCCATGGCCACTGGTGATTTAATTCATACTTATGACATGACTTTTTTCCTATTTCTTTGTCCAGATCTACTTTGGGCATCTTAAAAGGAGGGCACTGCATCTTACTTCCCAGAAAACTAGCTCAAAACCCAAGCCCAGGAACCTCTACTCCTAGAACAC